AGGGGCAGGGATGAGAAGATGTGACGCTGGGCCCGACCTGGGTTGAGTTCACGCAGCATGGCATCTCAACCAGGAGGAGTCTACGCAGCCGCCGAGTGACCGCGCCAGGCCAGGGCGAGTGACCCGAAGCGCTGCTGGCGCTGGGGCGCGGCCGAACCACCCGACGGGGCCCAGCGCCAGCGCCGCTCGAAGGACACGACGTCGCACCTGGCGGGAGGGCCAGGGGTGCGACAGGCGGCCGCAAGCGGCCGCCAACACCACGGGACGAGCCCGCGAGCCCGGCACTGGGTACCCCGCCCCAGGGTCCGGGCGGCGACACCGCGACACCCACGCTCGCGGCACGACACCGGGCACGGGAGCCAAGGCCCGGGCAGTGCCACCGAGAAGAGGTCTCGCCACCCCCCACGAGGTCAACGGCCACCCTGGGCCGCCGCCTGCCGAGCTGCCACGATGCCCCGAACGGCGGAAGCCACGAATCGATCTCCGAGAGCCTGCTGCATCTTCCTGCCATCGAGTCTCCTCTGGGCTAAAGGGCAATCAGGCAGATTTGCCTGGAGGGCTGTGGGAAGCGATGGTTTGGCACGATCCTCGATCGTTGTCCGGCCGCCCCCTGGTCAAGCATGATTCCCCCCCCTGTGAGACTATTATTGATATCATGCAGCGTGTTGGCCGGCCACTGTCTCTAGATTTTCTGCCATGATGTCGGGCGGTGGTAACCGTGCCAGCGGTGAACCGTTCGCGACAACTGCGACGCAGGGGGAGGCGGAAAGCTGGCTAGATTTGGCACCATCCAAACATGCTGTTGCTATGTGTGCGTCGGCCCCGCCAGGGCGACTCACACGCTCCTAAATCTTGTCGTGTAAGCTTCGTGGTTGACGTTTTCTAGCCGTACCGCTCCGGGCACGATGTGCTGTCCGGTGTTTGTGATGCATGTTCGAATTGGTCGTGCGACTCCGAGGGGGGGGCACAGCACTAGTATGTCGATCGGCGTCCCATGGGGCGGGAGTCGAGTGCAGGTGCCTGCTCTTCAGTGTCTCCATCATGGTCATGGGCTTCCTAACTTACAGCTACTTCAGCATCACTTGCTCCGAGGACGCCCCCCCCTCGCTGGCTCTCCTCTTTGTTGCCATTCTCCTGTTGAGTAGACCACTGCTGTGTTCTCCTTCCTGTGGGTTGACAACTTTGCAGCCCGTCGGCATTTTTGTGGGCTGCTGGAGGGTCCAGTGGAGTGACGTCGTACGCAGACCCATCCCAGGCTGCCATTTGGCGGACTCCGGACGTTCTGAACCCAAACTGTTTTCATCTCTGTGGAACGGATTTTTACGTCCGCCACCTTCCGCCTGCCTTCTGCCGGCTTCCGCCGGCGGAGGCGGCTGCGTTTTACTTTCGCCCCTCCCTCCTCCGTCTCCTCCCCCTCCCCCCCCCATCACTCACCTCCTCGCCTTCCGCCTCCTCCTCCTCCTTCTCCATTCCTTTTCCTTGTAGATCAAACTTCCCTGTCCCACCCCGAGGCCGAACGCGAGGGCGGGTTGGGCGTTTCGCGTGAGACTTCCCCACCATGTATGTCTTCACAGATGGAGGGCGGGTCGCTTCCAACATGTGGTTTTCGCCTTAGTTTCGCGCGCACTCGTTTTACATACAACTTTGGAAGAGAGTTTCACGGATTGAGGGCGGGCCGTTTTCAAATCGTGGCTCTCGCCTTAGCGTCGCGCGTTACCGTTTTGAAGCAATTGGAAGAGCTTGATGGATTGAGGGCGGGTGGTTTTCAACACGTGGCTCTCGCCTTAGCGCCGCGTACATTCGTTCTAAACATTTGCAGCAAGTGTTTCACGAATTGAGGACAGGTCGTTGTCAAAGTATGGTTCTCGCCTGAGCGCCGTGCACATTCGTTTTAACAACGTGGAATAGTTTCATGGATTGAGGGCGGTTCGCTTTCAAAATGTGGTTCATGCCGTAGCGCCGCGCACATTCGTTATAACAATTGGAAGAGCTTCATGGATCGAGGGCGGGTTGTTTTCAACATGTGGTTCTCGCTCTAGCGCCGCGCACATTCGTTTGACAATGTGAAGAGTTTCACATATTGAGGACGGTTCCTTCTCAACCTGTGGTTCTCGCCTTAGCGCCGCGCGCATTCGTCACTGCTTCCCATGGTTAACCTACGAGGCATGGTGTCGTGCAGGGGTTCAGGACTGTCAGGGCGCAACGGTTACGTTGATTCGCGGTGTTGAAGTCCCAGGACTGGTGTCCTGGCGGGATTCAGGATCGCCAATTCGTAGCACTTAAAGTTAATTCGTGGCGTTGGAGTCCTGATAATTATGTTTGGCGCGCTTGAAGATGTTCACACGTCTCTGCCCCAACTGGGAGGGAGTATTTCAACATCGTTGATGGGTCTTGGGCTTACACTAGTCCTCCTCCTCTTCCTCCTCCTTTCTCTGCGTGCCTCATCCCTCCGTCATCGCCCTCCGCCTCCTCCTCCCTCCCTCGCCCCCTCCTTTCCTCCCTCTCCATCCTACGCTAGGCCCAAATCTGAGGAACGCCGACCGCTTTGTGTGGTTTCTAGCGCCTGGTGTCTGGCACCGTGTCCCTTGCTGCTGCTTCGCAGCTATTTGAACAAGGCGAACGCTACGTATTAGACATGTCAAGCTTAAATCTCGCATCCCTGGTGTTTGCGGTGAAACTTTCGCCACTTTCGCAAGCTCCCGGGGGATCCAGCGCAGTGCGATCTCATCCGAATCCAGTGGGCACTTCCCCTGAGTTGTGCCAATGATGCCAGCTGCGTGGTTGTTGTCACTTTCGCGCGCCCCTGGGAGGTCCAGCGGCGTGCGACCATGTACAGCACCGCATAATCTAAATCCTCCCTGACTGCTGTCGCCATCCAACCAGCCCGTTTTCGAAAGCTTCTTGGAAGCGCCGCGAAGCAGATTTTCAGCCTTCCCTTGTTGGTGTCAGCCACGCAACTCTTGTCGCACACGGGTAATATCTCCTCCTGGTGTTCTCCGTTATCTTTCTGCTGGTCCACACACGCGCCCACTGAGGCGGCAACGCGCAGAACATCGTACGTTCAACCCCATACGAGGTACTGCCTCACTCAAACCTGCCCCTATCATTCACTGTACGTCGCACAGTTGTCGGTTTACCATCCGTATGCTTGAGGTACCTTGCTATATGGGCGCTCGTTGCAGCCAGGTCTGGTACGTCGCCAGTATAGTTTGTTGCTCCCTCATCGGCGAGTGCTGGAAGGGATCTCAATTGCTGTTAGAGAACCCGCTTCCGGGAAACATGATGCGAAGCATGTGTCGCTGGTCTGCTTTGTTGTGCCGCGTTGTGCCGTGATCGCGTGCCGTGCCGTGCCGTCTTTAGGGTTTGAGGATGTGGAAATTGTGCCGTATGCAATGTCGTGCCCGTGTACCGTGCCGTGCCGTGGATTTAGGTTGCGACGCGTGTCTCATGCCGTGCCATATGCCGTGCTTGGGGCTTCGAATGCGAAGCACGTTCCGTGCCGTGCCGTACCGTGCCGTGTTTGCGTGCCGTGCCGTGCCGTGTCTAGGTGTTAAATCTAGGTGTTAAAGAGTGAACGGGTGTTGTGACGTGCCGTGCCTTTCCGACGCCCTAACATGCGAAACGTGTACCGTGCCCTGCCCGCTTGCCGTGACGAGCCGTGCCCAGGTTCTTGAAGGCGAGACGCGTGCCCTGCCGTGCAGTGCCCGCGTGCAGTGCCATGACGTGCCGTGCCCGCGTGCCGATCTGCGCCTCCGTGCCTGAAGATGAAGTTTTGCCGTGCCGTGCCGTACGGTTCCCGCGTGCAGCGCCATGCCGTGCCGCGTCTAGGTTCACCGTGCCGTGGCGTGCCCGCGTGCCGTGCTGACTGGGTATTGCTAATGCGAGGCATATGCCGTCTCGCGCCCGCGTGTCATGCTTTACAGTCAAGACGTTGAAATAAGGAACACTTTGAGTTCGGCAGAGGCTCGATGTTCCTTAGGCTCCTCCATCGCTGTTCCTCCTGCCCTCCTTGGGCACGGCGGCGCTTCTAGGGCCAACATGGGGCTTCGTTCCTTATTTGGCGTTCCTTATTTCAGCGGCCCGACTGTACAGTGCCGTGCCCCAGCACTAGCAAATTACATGTGTACCGTACCGTACCGTTCCGTGTTCTCCTTTTCGCTCCACGCTGAGCACGCCCCGTTTTTTGAATGCTGGCTCACCCTGCCACCGTTGTTCGTTGTTACTTAGGGTCTTCTTGTAGTGTGCGAGGCTAAAAAGCCTCGCACCCGTGAGACTTCGGGCGAAGCAAGGGCAGCGACGCTTTGAGGTGTTGAGCAGGCCTGCTTCGCCGCTTCAGCCAGAAACATGTCGTGCGTATACTGTTGGTTGGCGAGGGCTTCCAGAATCGCGCCCCGCTTCTGGAGGGAGGGGCCGAGGGACAGTGAGGAACCATTTTCCCGTCTTTCAGCGATGTTCTTTCCACCCCCGTTCTCCGTACGAGATTGTCCTCGGCAAGTGCAACCAGGACAATTAGTTACCGTTTCGATGCTACGGTTGGTTTGGGTCGCGTCGACGCGGCGGCGATCCCAGCGCGGACGTTCAAGATTGAGCGCCGCCACCGCAATCGGTAAGCCGCGATACCGAACCATCTCCACAATCGGTAAGCCGCGATCGTTCCGTGTTGAACGAACCACGCGGTGTTAGGAACCGTCCGCACCAAGTCGTCACGACAAGAACTTGTCGTATCCCCACGCCCTCGACAGTTGATGGCTCCAGGCAGGCATTCGGCTGAACATCCGGTGGCCTCCAGCCCGTCCCGCCTCCATGCCCGGATCCTGGACAGGAGGCCGATCGGGGGTCCCTGGGGCCTCTCGGGGGTCCTCTTGGGAGCCCCCTTCGAGGCCTCTTTGGGGCATCGAAGTGGGCCTCCTGGAGGCCACTCGGTGGCCCTTTGGGCCTCTGGGGGCCCTCGCGGGGGACGTCCTGCCCAGGGGTGTGGAGCTGTCGCCCGTGGACATCGACTCGCTGGGTTCCATGCCCGGACCGTGGACAGGAGGCCGATCGGGGGTCCCTTGGGGCTATGGAGGTGTCGCCCGTGGACGTCGGCTCGCTGGGCTCCGTGCCGGCGGGGGCGGACGGCGCGGGCGCCGAGCACGGGCGGCGCTGCCGCGCCGTGCGCTCGAGGCCCATCTGCCGGGTCGGGCCGCCCGCCTCTCGCGGGCCTGCCTGGGCCTCGAGTTCCGCCTCTGGGGGCTCACCCTGGGGGTCTCTCAGAGGAACAGGTACCCATATCTCTACCCTTCCCTCGTTTTCCCTTCTTTTGGCCTCCTGGGGGGCCCTCGTCGCCACCGCTGGATTCGCCTCGAAGTCCTGGTCAGAACGCACCCCGGGAGAGGTCCGGGGAGCAGCGGTATTGGTACCTCTTGGCTTCCCCAGTCTCTCGGTCCCGTCCGGGGGGCGCCTGTGGGCCCTCTTGGGGGGGGGGGGGGCTCTCGGATGTTTGTGGGTGCTCCCGGGCCAGGAGTGGCAACCACGGGGATGGCAGATTGCAGCAGCTGTTTTTTTCCGTTGCTGCTGCTGTCGGTGTCGGGGGCCTCCTGGGCTGGCCCACCGGGGCTTCCGAGACGGCGCAAGAGGCCCCGGATGGAGTTTCATAGTGGTGATTTGGGTCCGTCCGAGGACGCGTCGTTTTCTTTGTCGCGTTTCACCAACGATTGTCTCATCATCGCTGCCTTTCTAGATGGCGCGCGGCATCTTAATTACCGTAGAGCGTGCATCTTTGCCGTCGCTGCGCCCCTGGCGGGCCTCCCCGGAGACACAGCCTGGAAATTGGAAACTGGAAACCGGGGTGCGCGGGCCCCCGACTAATTGAAAGGTCACGCGGGGATCTCCGAGAGCGCCTGGTGGCGCCGGGAATTTCTGGCAGTTCGTGAGCCTGTGGCCCTTAAGCGGGCAGTCACAGTCTCCAATACTCAGAGCTGATGGGGCCTGGCGACATCCCACTCGGTGCCTACAGCATGGTGGCCAGCCTGGCCTCTCAGGCGTTACCGTCTTCTCAGATGTAGGACATATTTCTCCGCCTTCGCAGGGTTCCCCACCTTCTTTTCGAGCAGCAGGTTTGACTGTAATACAGGGTTTCAAATTCTGCCCCATCGAAATCGATTCCTTTCTGGGATGCCGCCTTGCTTTTTCCCAGTATGTCTCCGGCTTGCCCCCACTTCTGGGGGGGTGGGGGGGTTGGGGGGTGGGGGGGTGGGCGGGGGTGGATGGAGGACAATTCAGGTTTCCCGCGCAGATGGCGCGGCCCGCTCGCCAGTGCGCCACGCCAGCCCGGCCTGTTTTCCCAGCCTGGCTGGCTCGCCCGCTGAGCGAACAGTTTTCGGGCCCGGCCTGCTCGAGTCTGCGGCACGGCCTCGCGAAGCATATCCACTGGACCAATTTTCGGAAGTCAGCGTGCGGAGAAACAACAAAACATGATGCCGGCACAGCAAACAACCCGAACTACACAGCCAGCAACAGCGACGAGAGGAATGATGACGGAAAGGAACCATGGGCCGACTACATACGACGAGCCACGCGCGAAGCCACGGACCATGCTTCCAAATGGGTTGTTCTATATTTTAAACGGAAATGAAAGTGGGCATCCCGTGTGGCGACACACGATTGCGACAGGTGGACTTTCTTAGCTGCCTCATGGGAACCACGCTCACACGACCCTCGCCCAGCGCACCGGCGGCACGGAGGTCAACGAAAGCGATAGGCAGACGACATCATGCACTTCTTACGCGCCAAGGGCATGTGTGAAGACCGCGACGACCAGGAACACAACAACCAATGGTTACCAATTGCAGCAGATCAACAGTGATGGAGGGATCTAGAACATGATTTTATACAATACGCCTACGCCCACTACAACCTATAGGATCTGGAATGCTTCCCCGACTCCAGCGTTACGTGTTCTGCCCACTCTGGTCGTTTCTCCGACTCCTGTTCACACCTTTCCGACTGGGGTTCCCATCATCTCTCCGACTCCAGCTCCGGCTCCGACTCCTGCCCCCAACACGTCTCCTGAGGGCTCCGGCCCCCCCGCGCCGTTCAAGAGGGCCGGTCTCGCCGGACCGAACTCGCGCGCTCGCCTCGCCTCGCCTCGTCTTCGCCTAAACACGGTTTGGCAGGCTCTCATTCCGCTCTTGTCCCTGGTTCTTTTCTTCTCTCTCCTCCTTCTCCCGCCTCCTGTCATCACGCGTTCTAGCCATCTTCGGGCCGTCCCGGACCTGTATCGGGGCTGTCTTGGGCTGTTTTGGCGGCACATGGGGTCCTTGGGGCGCTCTCGGGGACCTGTTTGAATCATCCTGCCGCCCTCGTGAGCTGTCTGTGTGTCTTCTTTGCACCCTATAGGGGGCCTCGGGGGAATGTCCTGGGCCGTCAGGGCCATCCCTCCTCCTCCTCCTCCTCCTCCTCCTCCTCCTCGGTCCTCGATCCTCGATCCTCCTCGCTCCTCGAGGCCTCCGCGCCGCCCCCCTTGTGTGCTGGTTCGGACCTGCGTTGGTCCTTTGCAGGGCCTTCGTGCCAGATATGTCCATCCCTGAGAGATGCGTCGCTTGAGTTCATGGCATCTGCTTCCAGCTGTCACAGTGCCGCGGCCCATTTGGCTCCGTCGCGCGCGAACCATTGAGCACCTACAGCCGACGTGCAATACTGCTTGCTCGCACAAGGGGAGGGAGAGAGAGAAAGAGAGAGAGAGAGAGAGAAAGAGAGATGCCTCCCGACATCCACATCCACGAAGAGTCGGGATGCGTCGCTGGCATGGACTTCGCGCCCACGAGTATGCATGATACCATCTCACACGAACTTACTTGTTGTTTCTTGAGATTTCCAAGGGTCGGTTTCATCTCCGACTGTCTTGAGCCATCATGAGTCTCTCTCTCTCTATATATATATATAGATATTTATATATTTTTTTTTTCTCTCTCTCTCTCTCTCTCTCTTTCTCTCCGTCCACACGCCTTGGTCGTTGATTCTCCCTGAACTCCCTGCTCCTTTTCCTGCTGATGCTTTTGCTCTTGCTGCTCCTCACCCTTCTCCTGCTTCTACTCCAATCGCACCCGCCGCCCTCTCCCTCCCGACATCCTCCCCCTCCCTTCCCCACTCTTCCCTCTTACTACTTCACATGGGCCTCGGGATGCGGTGCCGCGAGGCCCCCATTGCGCGCCTGCAGCGATCCGACGCGGCCCTTGCGGGCATTGCACGTAGCATCGCATGTCGACCTGCCACCGAGGAATCTTTTCGGATCGGCGGCGAGGGTTTGTCGCGGTTGTTGCAAACGTGGGCCTGCGCGTGCGCCGCCACCCGGCCCCCAGGACGAGCGGAAGCATCATATCTGTCCCTGCACTCCGGAAGGCTGTGATCCCAGAGTTTCTCCGGAATGGACTGGGAAGCCGGGGCGCAGGAGGAGGAGGAGGAGGAGGAGGGGGACGAGGAGAAGGGGGAATAATAGTACTATTTGTAATAACACAGGAAATAAGAATACTAGTAATGGTTGTTATCGTAAGAATGAGAAGAACAATATTCCAAACAATAAGAATACTACTGCGAAGAAGAAGACAACTACTAATAACATGAATGATAATACTGTTACGCATGCTGCGAATCATCATATGCATACAGTTACTACTAGTAGTGATGAACATAAGCACTACTTACACTACTAATAGTACGAAGTCGCATAAGACTACCCATACTAATACTGTTCATCCTGAGACTAACGGTCATAAGAGGAGGAGGAGGAGGAGGAGGAGGAGGAGGAGGAGGAGGAGGAGGAGGAGGAGGAGGAGGAGGAGGAGGTGGAGGAGTAAGAGGAATACGAATAATACTACTACGAATAATACTAATAATATTAAGAATGCTAGTAACCATACGAATCATACTAACCATACAAATAATTCACATACTTATAAGACGAGGAGGAGAATAATGAGTAATAGAAGGAGGAGGAGGCGGAGGAGGAGGAGGAGGAGGAGGAGAGACGGATTAGGAGGAGGATAAAGGAGGAGGAGGAGGAGGAGGAGGAGGAGGAGGAGGAGGGGGCGGATGATGATGAGGAGGAGGAGGAGGAGGAGGAAGGAGCAGGAGAAATATCAGTTTGAAGCAGCCGGGCGAGAATGCGGGTGGGGGGTGGAAACGGCAAGGGGGGAGCGGATGGTTGAGAAGGGGAGGAGGAGGAGGAGGAGGAGGAGGAGGAGGAGGAGGAGGAGGAGGAGGAGGAGGAGGACGAGGAGGAGGAGGAGGAGGAAGAAGAGGAGGAGGAGGAGGAGGAGGAGGAGGAGGGAGGAGGAGGAGGAGGAGGAGCAGGAGGAGGAGGAGGAGAGGAGGAGGAGGAGGAGGAGGAGGAGGAGGAGGAGGGGAAGGATCATCGTTTTGGAACGTTTTGGCCATGCCCGAGGGGCCGTGCTACACCCAACGACGCACACGCACCCCCGGGCAGGCACCGAAGCCCCTACCCAAACATGCGCACGCGCCGATACTGGTTTCACAACGTACACCCGACGGGGGCCCCCTTACAAATCAGTCCCCGCCAGCGGCTGGTGTATTATGGGCCCCGTCGGGTACACATCTTGGCAAGCGGCTGGTGGCGGCGTCACATATTCGCATCCTCTATGGCACGAAGGACACTCTGTGGGACACTTTCGCGCTGGGGAACAAATTCTGAACCAACTCTCTGTTCACGAGGTGCCTGGGGTCCTCTGTGGTGTACCGGCCACATTTCCAGCAGAAGGTCACCCAATACTCTGGCCAGAAAGCGAGCACGTGCGAAGCATGAAGGAGAACATCGCCGCTCCGAGCGGCTGAAACAGATACTGGGCGAGGCTCTCCCCCACTGGCCGCCGCAGCCAAGCTGCTTGCTGGCGGCGGACCCGAGCAAGGCGTGGCACTTAAACCCCGCAGGTGGCGGCCAGGCACGAGCTTTGGCAGAGGCTGCAGCGTCGCGTGCTGCCGCACTTCGCCATCGCGTGAGGCGAAGACTGCTGGGCTCGGGCAGCAGGCGTCCGCGGAGGGCGCCTGACGCAACCTGGACGCACTCCTCTCTCGCTGTCGGCCTCTGTCGCCCGTTCGAGCGCCTTGCGCGCACGGCGGCGAAGGAGGGCAGCGATCACATCGACCTCGACGGTGCGAGGTTCCTTGCCCACCGTCCCGACCACCCGACCCAGCTCAGCCATCTCCCCCGCCCACACATCGGCAACCTCGAGTACCTCGTTGCCCAAGGCGAGAAAGAGGGATTGTTCAGTGACGAACAAGTGGGCACGCTCGTCAGCGTGCGATGCCACGCACTCGACCAGCACTGCCCCCTCGCTTCTGCTGGCCATGCCCGCGCGGCCCCGCTGCCAGAGGTCTTAATTCGCAAGACGGCGATGGTTGGAGCCAGCGAGGCGCTGACGCCAAACTCGAAACAGTTGCTCGTGATCGGTGACGTACCGCCAGGCGCCCGAGGTGGACTCGAGGGCCAACACAAAAACGAGAACCTCGGCCCGCGGCACTGTCTGCTGCGGGCCGGCGAGCGCCTCGGCACGCCCCGCAGCGGCCTGCCGCTCGCCGCCGGGGCCGCGCTCCAGCACGGCAATGGCTGTCCCGCATCGGCGGCGCCTCGGGTCAGACGAGTACCTTCCCCCCGACCTCCTTCTCCTCCTCCTCCTCCTCTTCCTCCGCCTCCGCCTCCGCCTCCGCCTCCTCCTCCTCCGCCTCCTCCGCCTCCGCCTCCGCCTCCGCCTCCTCCGTCTCCGCCTCCTCCTTCTCCGCCTCCTCCTCCGCCTCTTCCTCCTCCGCCTCCTTCTCCCCGTCCCCGAAGACCGTCACCACCCCCTCCTCGTCGCGATGGGAGTCCAGGGGGCTCCGAGCATACGAACTGGGCGCGAGGCACACGCTCCTCGCCAAGCCGCGGCGTGGGCGAGTGCAGCGGGCGGCACGCCGCGTAGCCACGAGGACGGCTTGGCGTGGCAGCTGGCCAGCGCTCGCGGCACCAGGGCAGCCGACTGGGCGAACGCATCGTCGCCCCCTCCGTCGTCATCACACTGCCAGATTCGACGGGCGAGGTCCTCGGGAGGAGCGGGAAGAGGAGAGGGAGGAGGAGAGGGAGCAGGAGCAGGAACATGAGCAGGAACGAGAGGAATCGAATGAGAAGGAGGCAGAGGGAGGGAGTGGGGGAGCCGGTCTGCCCCTGCGCCCCTCTTTTTTCCGCTCACGGCACCGCCGGTTAGCGCGTCTGCGTGCTGTCGGCTGCTCCTTGCGAGCGACGGATCGGGCGGGCGGACCCTGGGTCGGGTCGAGTCGGGCGGGCGGGACATGAAAGTGTGGGGCGCGCTCGACCGAGCACGCGCGAACCCTGACGGGCGGGTCGGGTCGGGCTGGCGGACCCTAGCGGGCGGGTCGGGTCGTGGCCCCCGCCGTCGAGCCCGTTCGCCCCAAGGGCCAAGGGCCGCCCCCGAGGTTCGTGAACGATGGGGGACTCCGGAGGCCCTGGAGCCCGACCAGAGTTCCGAGGCCGTTCCTGCCGCGGCGGTGAGGGCGGCCACCATCTTCGGATGCGCACCGGGATGCATGCGGCCGCGTCGACTGAGAGAGGCGATGGCTTGGCATCGCTCGGACGTGTGCATTTTTTCTCGGCGAAGACCATCGAAGAGCATCTAGGATCATTTTCGAATGAACGCTCGCGCGAAATCGAAAAGTAGTTACACGGGAACTGGACGTCCGAGCGATGGCAAGGTGGAGGAAGGGGGGGCGATGTATGGGAGGGAAGGGTTGGGAGGGCGGGATGGGGGAGGGAGGGATGGCGCTGGGGAGGGCAGGGGAGAAAGGAAGGAGATGGGGGGACGCAAGAGGGAGGGAGGGAGGGCGCATCCGCCAGAACGAGGGGGGCGGAGGAGGGGGAAGGGGGAAAGCGGGACACATGGCAGGATGGAGAGGGGGCGGGGGAGAGGGAGGAGGGGGCGGGTGGAGAAGGGTCAGGAGGGGGAGCAGGAGGAGGGGGGCAGGGGCAAGGAGTGCGCCCGCTGCAGGCTGCACCCTGGGGACGGCGGAGCTCGGCTGCCACGGGGAGGAGCCGAAGGATGGCCCCAACCCTTGCTCTGAGATGGGCTGCCATATCCTATATCCTCGCAATGCGGCGACACAAGGACGGGGAACCAGGAACACAGATCGGAAACAGGAACATATACATAACATGTGGCGGGCTGTTTTTCATCCCAGGAATTTTGAGGGTCGGGGATGACGTCGTGGTGGTGTGGTGTATATTTTTCCCCGTTTGCCTGGGGAAGCAACGGAACATGTATACACCAGGATCCCGTATACACCAGGATCCGCTTTCCTGTGCGTATTTCAGTGCGGGGCCAGAAAAAAAGACGTCGGTGTATACATACACACATGTATATGCATATAGGTGTATGTATATATATATATATATATAGAGAGAGAGAGAGAGAGAGAGAGAGAGCGAGACAGAGACAGAGAGTTCGGCTCCTTAAGCAGGATCTGACCGCGTACCGAAATCGGCGGCACACTTTCGCCAACTGTTAGCAATATCCGCAAGGACCCCCAATTCAAGCACTGACTGGGGAATCAGTCCGTGCGCGGATTTCTGGGGTCGATGCTGGACACCCTCCCACCCCCTCTAGCACATCATGGGAGCCTGGTATACCTTCTTAAATCCGGGTTTAGCGTCGATTAGCGTCTGGGAGTGGATGAGATAGCGCCGATTTAGCATCGATTAGTGTCGACTTAGCGTCGATTAGTGTCGACCAGCGTCGACTAGCTTCGATTCGCAAGAGCCGACAAGATGGTATGGAAGGCTCCCATGAGTTGCCACCGCACCCTCCCACCCCTGGCTGGGTCTTCACCGCCAGTTCCAGCGCACCTTGCGCTCCCTGGACGGGTCAGTGGCGAGGAGTTCCAGCGCCGACTCAAGACACCCGCCAACAAGGTCACGCGTGCACCACAAGGCTGCGTCATCGCACGCGCACTGGAATCCGCACGACAGCGTGTGCGACTGCGGACCGCTCGCCGTGACGGATCTCACATCCATCTGCGCCGCGAAACGTGCGCGGTGGCAGCGGCTGTGGGAAGGGCGGCGAGCGTCATATGTTATCCACGGGGTGGGCTGGTGGGTGGGTGGGTGGGTTGGAGGGCCGCTCAACATGCGTTGCACGTCTTCGAAGAAACAAGAACGCCATCACCAGAAACTTTGGTCGCTCCGTGTGGATTTCTGGGATCCGAGCTCCAGCGCCGCCCCTGGCGCGCTCTGCGCGCCAGGGAGGGGGGTCCAGCGCAGATCCAAGAAATCCGCGTGGAGCGCCAACAGTTTCTGTTTATGCAATTTTTGCTTCTTCGATGTCTGCTTCCCAGAAGAGCCTGATCTTTCTGCCTCGCAGGCAGCGGGCGAAGAAAGGCGGCGAGGAGACGGGGTTGGGGGGCACGGAGGAGGGCGAGCAGCAGCGTCGAGAGGGGGCGGCCACATTCGGCGGCGAACCAGGTTGAGGCAGAGGAGAGAAGGAGACGGCGCAGGCTATCCTTCTCCCCCAGCCCCCGACTTCTCGATGAAAGAGGAAGCCGCTCAGAAAGGGAGGGACACCCTGGGATTGTGGAGGACGATCAATGGAGAGGAAGCGTGTTGCCAAGTGATTTCCAGATGGCTAAAACATGTGTTAAACAGGTTTTACACATTCAAAAAACATGTTTGAAACATGTTTAGAACATTCTTCTTGCATTTTAGCCACATTTTAAATTCAATGATAGGACTGTTAGGGTGTCCATTGTCGTGGCATCCACAACCCTGGGACACACCCCTGGGGGGGGCGTTCGGATGCACCCCTGTCGAGGATGGACGCCCCCCCCCATCGTACATCCCGGGGCGGGGGGCCCACATTCTTGGTCCTTTCGAGAACCCCGTGGCGCTCGGGATTCGGGGTCGACGCCTCCCCTGTGAAGACGGCCTTCTCCAGAGGCGGCGGGGCTTCTCAGAAGGCCCCGGGCCCTGGAGAGGTTCTTCGCAGGCCTAGGTTGACACCAGCACCAATCTCGGCGGTGTGCCTCCACCGAGGGAAGAAGATCCCGATCTCGGTGATGGTGGTAATATTCTGGTCTCCAAGGTGGCCGAAATATTTCCACCAACACCGGAATCTAGGACTATTTTCTCCCTGTGGAGGCAACCCCCTGTGCTGGTGTTGGTGGCCATTTCCAGGCCTGCAAGTTCTCGCCGTCGTCGGGCCAGCGGGGCGCCACACCTCGCCCGCCGCGCAGGCGCGGTGGCGGACTCCGGGCCCCCAGGGCCAGCTCCTGGCTGCAAGGCGCTGGCCAAGGGTCGGGGGGCACGGAGTTCGGGCCGGACGTGCGGGTGGAGTGGGGCAGAGAGGGGGGTTACCCCTCGCCGCCGAGTGGTACCCGGTACCACTCGGCGGCGAGCGAGCGGGGGAGGTGAGAAGGAGAAGGCCTTCTCAGCAGGCGGCGGAGCTTCTCAGAAGCGCTCTGGCCTCCTGAGAATTGTGCTGTGGTTTCGCGGAAGGCTTAGGGCACTTCGCAGAAGGCAGCGGAGCTTCTAAGATGCGCACAGGTATTCTGGTAAGTTTTCTGTGTTTTCACGGAAGGCTTAGACCACTTCTCAGAAGGCTGGGGGACTTCCGAAACTTCTGAGAAGGCTTCCCCTGGGCTCGCCGCCGAACCAAACTGTTGCGTGCAGCCGTTTTCGGCCCCTCCTCGGTGCCCTTTCCTCGATGCATGGGCTACACGTAGCTGGTTCGCCAACCTGGAGGCAGAAACATCATCATAGTCATAGCATAACTTATCAAAGGCCGCGCTCCGCGCGCCAGGGATGCCCCACCTGAGAGATCCTTGTGGACCTCCCGAAAGCTTGTGCAGATGACGACTTTTGCTCGAACCCCCTTTGCTGTCCCCCCCCCCACGGCCTGCGCTGCAAAGATAGCGTGCGATGTGGAGCCGCCGACCCGCTGATTACAGGCCATCCCCCACCTTGGGGATGGCCTGTGCCGAAGAAGCCCTCGCGGGGGGACAGCGTGCACAGAAGGGGCCCTCGCGGGGGGATGGCCTCACGGGCACAGCGTGCCTTTCGGAGGTCGAGGCTGCACGCCGTCGTTGCTGCGCCGGCCGTGCGCCCGCCCCGACGGGGTGCTGCCGAGCCTCGGCGCTGCCGCGCCCGTCTTCAGGACGACGGCTGGGAGGTGTACGCGAGGCGCGGGGGCGCCCCGCACGCTGTCAAGGGAGGAAGTCGGAGGTGGATAGACCTCCTACCCTGACACGTAATTGGCCGTTTTCGGTTCGCGAGAGGGCGTCGCGGCCGTCATTTTTGCGGGTCTAGGTCCGTCGGTTTCGGTCCCAGGCCGTTCTCACTAAGCGGAGGTTTACTAAAGGGAGGTTTTTCCGCCGCCGAGGAACAACTACCTGGACCCGATACTTTGCGTTCGCAAAACGGCCCTGGGCGTTTACTAAGCAGCTTTGCCCCGTTCGATTCCTTCGTTGGGTGCGTTTACCAAACTGCCTCGCGCGTCGGGGTGGTTCTTATGAGGGGGTGGATTTTCTGCTCTCTACTCTGCGCGCGCCGCTGTCCACGGGCCTCGGTGAGCCGGGCAGGCGGGCAGGCGGGCAGGCGGGCAGGCAGTTCGGGGGGGAGCACGGGCGGGAGCGCAGCGAAGAGCGAGCAAAGTGTGGGTGGGCTGGAGCCCTCGGTGACGGAGGAGGGGAGGGCGTAGTGGTCGGGTGTTGCTAGAACTGCTCCTGGCCCAAGGTGCCCCCAGTATTCGCGGGGTGGCCCAGGCGGTCTCCAGAGCACTTCTCACGAGACTCTGGGAGCCTCGGGGGGCTCCAAAATGGAGCGAAAAGCTGGGGGTACCTTGGGCCAAGGGCACCTTTAGCGCTCCCCGAGGAGGGCGTAGAGGGGAGTGCTCGCGATGCGGCATCGGTGTCCGAGAGGTTTGGTCGCACTTTTCCCGCCTGCGCACATGCCGTATGCTGTCCCCCCCTCTTCCCCTGCCTCATCGTAGGCCGATGCTGGTCAACCTCGCTGCCATCTCGGTCTTGTGGCGGTCTCACTCTGCTGTCCCATCGCGTGGTGTTCGCCCAGTGGTCCGCTCCCCTTCGCTCCTGCTCCTCGAGGAACAGTGAAAGACCCACTGCAATTAAGCGCGCGACATCAACTCGCGTGGGTCTTAAACTCGGCCCCGTTCCCTTGGCACTCATGGAGGGCGTCTTTGGGACCTGTTGGTACGTCGTGGGGGCTTGTGGGCCGCTTTAGAGCTTTCTTGGCCCGTCGGATGCCGTCTTGGGGGCCTTTCTGGGCTGTCCTGGGACCTTTCCCAGATGTGCTCGGGCCGTCTTGGGATCCTGCTCCTGGGGTCCGGGGGTGCGAGGGGAAAGGAGCGCGTCTTCCCGGCACCTGCTGGGCCGCGGTGGCAGCCGGAGGGCCCCTCTGTGGGCCCCCGTGGGCCACTCTCCTGCAGCCCGCTCTCGGTCGCCCCCCCCCGTGTCTCCGAGAGCCTCGCGTCGGCAGCCATCCCTGGGCCAAGCTAGCCCAGATCCCACTTGAAGATCGCAAGCAGGCCGCTGAGGTACGTCCGGTTCGTGTCGTGCCGACTTCGGCGTTGGTTTCTGACGCCGCGGGGATCGTTCAACCTTGAACGATCGGCCGTTGCCGAAACGTCCAAATCGTTCCACATCGAACGATTCTGGTTCGCCCGCGGCGTTCAAAGTTGAATGGCGGGATCGCCGCCGGTCGACACGACACGAACCTACCGTAGACAACAGGACCTCGAAGGTGCTATAGACTCTTTGCTGGCTGTTTCTTTCGCCTCTGGTCCAGGACGCCCAGGCAGTGTGAGGCCTCTTCCAAAGGCAACCTCCAGAGGCCAAAGTTGTGGCCTCGAAGCAGAGGGCGGCCAAGCAAGAATGATCTGAACAGTACATTTAGCAGACTCAGCACCAAGTCCGGAAGGTACGGAATGGACCATGGAGGTGCAACGCCTGTTTTTTGTAGGATGGAGGTGGACCGCCTGGCCTTCCTCCAGTCAGACTGTCGTGGGATCCCGTCCAAAACCCGATGGTCCCCCCGTGCCGTCTCTTTCCGCGGGGCGTTCTGGTGCCAGGTCTCTGGTGGAACGGGCCCCCCTCAAAAGGACAAGCTCCAGAAGCTCGAACGCCAGTGCATTCCAGGCCTTCCGGCCCACGGCAAACGTGTCCCTGCCCGCCTTTCTGCGGGCAAATTCCTTCCCGATCTCAAGGCTTGGCCTGGGTAAAGGAGAGCACCGAGGTCAGCTCCTGTCGGGCCGCTGGGGATGGAAGCCTCGTCGGCGGCGACAGACGTCTCCTTCGATGGGGCTGGCCGTGGACTTTTTTTTCCTCGGAGGCCCTCATTGGACCCTACCTCCGCAGCCCAGCAAGAGGCAAGAGGAGGAGGAGGAGGAGGAGGAGGAGGAGGAGGAGGACGAGGAGGAGGAGGAGGAGGAGGAGGAGGAGGAGGAGGAGGAGGAGGAGGAGGAGCTTTCCCGAGCTTTCCCCCTCAGCCGCAGTGGCTGTCGGTCGCTCGGCGGCCGTGCGCGCCGCGCGGCCGCCGCTCCGAGGGCCGCGTCCCTGAGGACCGCCCTCTCTCCCTGCGCGTCTGGCGGAGGCGCAGGGAGCGACGATGACGTGCTGGCCCCGCAGCTCGTCGTCGGTCCGCCCCCCGAGATCCTCAGCACCCCGTTGCGGACCCCCAGGGCAGCGACCCTGGGCGCTCGCCTCGGCATGCCTTCCAAGGGGAGCGGCAATGAGATCCGTATTCTGCCCATTCCCACGCTGGTGCAGGTCACGGTGCTGCTGGTGCTCGTTGTGCTGGCTGGCTGCAGCCAGGAGTCGGAGCACCCATCGTCGTCGCCGTTGCTCTGGGCTCTCTATCGAGCCGTTGTCAGTCTGGTGGTGTTCGTTGTCTTGCCAGTGTTTGTCGTGCCGTCCGCCGTGTACTTTATCTTGCCTGATACTGTCGTCGTCGGGTGGAGCGGTAGAGTTTGGTGGGCGCGGGCCTTCAAATGCACCTCCACGCTGGCCTCCCTCTACCGCCCCCGTAGGCCGACGCAGGGAGTACTCGTCCTCCCCCTCGGCGCACTCCATCGGGTGTCCGTGGTCGGGTCCAAGTTTATGTCGGTCGTGCTGGGGTCGCTGATCGTGGTGCTGCTGGTCCGCGTCCGCTCCAAGGGCCGCGTCCCTGGGGACCGCCCTGCCTCCCCGCGCGTCTTGCTGAGGCGCGGGGAGCGTTGCTATCTTGGTGGTCCTGCGGCGCGGTCTCGGTCCGCCCCCGAGATCCTCAGCACCCCGCAGCGGACCCCCAGGGCGCGAGTCACCCTGGGCATCCGCCACGACATGCCTTCCAAGGGGAGCGGCAATAATGCCAGTACTTTGCCCAGTCGTGTGCTGGTGTGTGTGGTCGAGCTGATCCTGCGGCTGCATGTCTTGTTGGCAAAACGCAGGCGACGAATCGCCAGTCGGGTCGGTACTCACAGCCAACCTCGTGGGAGGTGGTGTGGTGCGTGCCCGCTGGCTGTTTTCCGAGCCGCTGTCGGTCAAGCCGTGACCGTCGTGCTGCAGGTCAACTCGGCGTTCGTCGCATTGGTCGTGGTGTTGCTGTTTGTCGTTGGGCAGGTCGGTCATCTCCAGTCTTTGTTGCACGTGTCGGTGGACCGCAGGCGACGTGGTGCTAGGTGGGTCGGTACCCGCTGCCGTCCTCGTGGGAGGCGGCATGGCGCGTGCCCGCTGGCTGTTATCCGAGCTGCTGTTGGTCACGTCGGGTCTGTCATGTCGCAGGTTGTCTCGGCGCACGTCGTGCAGGCTGTTGTGTTCATCCGTGTCGAGGGTGTCAGGTGGGCTGCTCGTATTGTGCGTCGCGTCCTTTGGGGTCGTAGCCGCTTCCTCCGCAGCTCGCTCGAGCCAGTGCTTGAGCTTGTACTTGATGCTGTTGTACCCAGGTCTCTGTAGGCACTCCCCTTGGAGCTTCAGGAGGAGGAGGAGGAGGAGGAGGAGGCGATGGAAGAAGAGGAGGAGGATGAGGAGGAGGACGAGGAGGATGAGGAGGAAAACGACACTTGGAATGTGTAGACAGGTGGATGAGGGCCGCACGTCGAGGAGGATTCTGCCAACGCAGGTTCCTGCAGTGGATCATCAGCTGGAGATGGTGGAGAGACGTCATCGACGTGCAGGATGGCTCCCCCCCAGCGGCCCTGCGGCAGGTTTGTGCCGTGTTTCGATGTGGTGGCGACTCCAACGCGGGCGTTCAAGGTTGGAGGCCGCCAGCGGGCGGCTTGCAAACGGCCGGTATCGAATATTCTTGTGCAGCGGGGAAGCCGCTATCGTTCAAGGTCGAACGATCCACACGGTGTCAGAGCCATCGTGCAGGTGGTCACGGGCACGAGCCTGCTGCCGCAGTCGCCCCAATCTTGCGAGGGCGAAGAGGACCTCGCGGGGCTGGCCTCGGACTTTCCCAGAGGCCCTGCTGGGCCCTGACGCAGGCGTCGGAGCGAAAGTTGCCAGTGGTCCTCCAGAGGAAGCATGAGGGTGGAGTTTCCCAGTGTGCGATGAGGGATGCCCGCCAGAGCCGAGGCGACAGCGGATGCGCAGCACTCTGGCGGCGGCGAGCCCGGCGGGAAGCGAGAGGGGGCGGGCCTCTGAGAAGGCCCGCGGGCCCCCCCCTCGCATCCCCCCCCCAGGCTCGCCGCCGACTCCTAGTGTTAAGTCGGGCCCGTCCCTCTACAGGGGACGGGCCCGACTTCACACTAGGACGATGTTTTGACTATTTTTGAGCATCTGGGGGGTATTTTTTGAGTATGTCCATTGTTCGCCCCAAATCCCCCTGTAGGGGGGCACGCCCGACCTGATCCTGGTGTTGTCACTACTCTCCGCTAGGTGCTGAGGGCAACATGCCAGATCTATCTCTCGTGAGCGGAAAACGTTCGGGCGAAGAGAACTATGCACATGCACCGATCCTGGCAATGCCCATCCTTGACCCAGGATCAGTGCATATGCCTTCCTGGCCAAGATAGGAGGGCGTATGCACCGATCCTGGTCTCAGGATGGTTCTGGCCAGAATCGGTGCATGTGCATAGCTCTTTTTCCTCTAAACGTATATCCGTTTCCGCGGCCTCGCGGGCCGAGCCCCGTGCCGCGACCCCGCGGGCACGGGGGCGTTCTCTCTCTCGGGTGCCCCCCCGCGCGGGACGCATCCGTGCGACCGCGTGACCGCAGGATCGCGCCACGGAGTCCGGGCCGCGGGGGCGCGGTCGGATTGATTTCGCGTAGTTCACCCCACCGGTCTCTTTCCTGTGAGCGGCAGCGAGGCTCGCCTCCTGTTTGCCTCCCCCCTTGCTTGGTCTTGTCGCTTTTCGCCTTCCTCTTCCTGTGCGCTAATTTAGGCCGTCGCCCCTGTGCTTCGCCCCATGACGCCGCCCGACCTTTTCGCCGCGGTCGCGATCAAAAAGTAACCCCACCAGTCTATCAGAAACTATGCCCTGGCGAGTTGCCCAGATCCGGCATCGGGGGAACACGCAGTGGAAGGAATTCTGCGAAGCCGTCAAACCCCAAGAGAGTCAGGATGGCAGAGGAACCAGAGGAGGAAGTGGAGGAAGAGTATGAGGAGGAGGAGGGAAACGGGGAGGGGGAGGAGGAGGGAGGAGCGAGAAGGGAAAGTCGAGGAGGATTTCTCGGATGAGGAGGAGGAGGAGGAGGAGGAAGAGGAGGAGGAAGAGGAGGAGGAGGAGGAGCAGGAGGAGGAGGAGGAGGGCGCGCGGAAAGGCCAGAAACCTCTTGGATTGTGTTTGTTCGGAGGCAAACAAACCTCAAAAGCTAAACTCAAAAACTTCAATAATTTGTGAATCAGCTCTGATTCAACTCTGGCCCGGAATTCTGTTTCATCTATGATTTTTTGGAACCTCTGCTTCAACTCAGGTCTGAATTCTGATTTAATTATGATTCGGCTCTGTCCCCAGTCAGAGCAAAATCAGAGTTAAATCAGAGCTCGAGACCAGAGCTAAAGCAGAGTTTCATGTAAACCAGAGAGATGAATCATAGCTTCAGGCCAGAGCCACATCAGAGTTTCAGCCAGACCAGAGAAGACTTTCAGGCCAGAACCAAAACAGAGCTGAAGCAGGGTACCATCGGAGTTCTGACAGTCCCGGGCGGAGGGCGCGGGGCGCACTGCGCAAGTGCGCTTGCTCTCTCTCCTTGCCCGTCTTCCCTCCTCCCCTCGCTGTCTTTCCTACCTCGTCTATCCCCTCCTTCCTTCCTCCGCTTCCCTCACCCTCCCCTTCCCTCCTCCCCGTTCGCGTCCCTCTTCCCCCCTCCCCCCTCCTCTCCTCCTCAGTCTGTCTCCTCCCTCCTCCCCTAATCCCCGCCTCCTCCTCCTCCTCCTCTTCCTCCCCCCATTGGCCTCACTAGTCCCGTTTCCTCCTTCCTCGGTCGCCGTCGCCTTCCACGCGCTGTCCCTCCCCTGCCCTCGGCCGCCATTCCTCCCTTCGTCCTTTTGGTCCTCCTCCTCGTCCTCCTCGTCCTCCCCCTCACCCCCTCCGCATCGAGCGTCAGTCTTCGCTCTTCGGCCTCAGTGTCCCGCCCTCGTCCTCGCCGTTTCCCCCCTCGCTCCAGGCCCCGCGCCCAGCCTCGTCTCCGAGGGCCCCCCGCGCCCGCCCTCGTCCCCGCCCGAGGCCATGTGCACTTCAGCCCTCACACACACGCACACACACACGCACACACACAGACACACACACACACACACGCACGCACGCACGCACGCGCACGCGCACGCGCACGCGCACGCGCACGCGCACGCGCACACGCACACGCACACGCACCCCCCCCCCACCACCACCACACACACACCCACACACACACCCACACACACCCACACACACCCACACACCCCACACACACACACACACCCACCACACACCCACGCACCCACGCACCCACCACCCACGCACCACGCACGCCACGCACGGACGCACGCACGCGCACGCACGCATCGCACGCACGCACGCACGCACGCATGCACGCACGCACGCACGCGCACACGCACGCGCACGCACGCACGCACGCACACACACACACGCACACGCACACGCGCGCGCACACGCACGCGCACACACGCACGCACACGCACACACACACGCACACGCACGCACACACGCACGCACGGACGCACGCACGCACGCACGCACGCAAACACAAACACAAACACAAACACAAACACAAACACAAACACAAGCACAAACACAACCACAATCACAAGCACAAACACAAACACAAACACAAACACAAACACAAACACAGACACACACAAACACAAACACAAACACAAACACAAACACAAACACAAACACAAACACAAGCACAAACACAAACACAAACACAAACACACCCACACACCCACGCACCCACACACCCACACACCCACACACCCACACACCCACACACCCACACACCCACACACCCACACACCCACACACCCACACA